CGGAGAGAAGCGCACAACGGGGCGAACGATTGTTAAATCGCACAGTTGTGCGGACCATGTGTGGACGATTGCACGGTGTGCGCAAGGTATTTTTGGTGCGTTGTGCGGTCACACAACTGTAACACGATTATTGATATATTCAAGAGCAAGTACTTATTTTTAAACTTAGAACTACTACCCATCAAAGTTTCCTGCTTATCAAACACTGAAACTTCAGATAATATTCGTAGTTTTAGTATCACCGTTTAATGACAAATTGACGACATTGTGTCTTCCTTACGTGAGGTCGACAATTCAAACAAACAGCAAAATACCGACAGTTACACATTTAATTTGATGAAAAAACAGTACTTATATATGCGATGCTACATTATATCACGGACTTAGATAGATCACGGACTTATATAATCTAATTCCGTGATTACATTTATCTTGAAAATATAATTAAATTATGAGATTCTAATAATTTTGTTTCTCCATATACAGAGACGCATAATACACGTGCAATATACGTCTCTGATGAAACATACAAGTTTTTCAAGTTTCAAGTTTCAAGTTTTATTCAAACTTTGGGCCATTGNCATACACAAGTTATACATCTTGGTTAAATAATGAAAATCGTCTGGATCCACTCCCTTATCCTACTTAGGTGTGAAACTTTCATAATACTGGACCAGCGTATGGTCCGATGTCTAACTTGACATAAGTAAACCGTATTTTTATTTTTTATAATACACAGTACAAAACTAAACACGATTCTCATACCTCTTCTTACCAACAGCAATGGTATAAGTATTTTACAACAATATATCACTCGATCTGTTCACTGTTCCCAAGTCAATATCCTTCTTACAACACTAGCCAGGCACCAGACTCAGTTTTAACATTATTTAGAACGATATCTCATGATCACGAGATGTACTGCTGTCGTGTACAAAACCCCGATACCGATCAATTTAATTGAGTTACCTCCCTTTAAACGATAAGCTTTGGTGTACATTTATTTTTGCGCTGTTGGGAGCCTCGGACTTCAAGTTCAAGTTCAAGTTCTTTATTACTTTAAGTCGGTTGACTTATCAGTCATAACATATATACAAAACAATACAGAGACAACATACAATATGATACACACACACACACACACACACACACACATACACAATTCAACTTTTATTCCTTAAGTTTGACAACTTATTGGATAACTATACTTTACAATAAATTACAAATGATATATACGTATATGTATTGTGCAATCAACACTCATTATCACTCCCACATCATTATTGTGCATTCAACAATCATTAACGCTCTCACATCATCATCATCATCATCATCATCATCATCATCATCATCATCAGCATCATTAACATCTGACATTAACTACAACAACATGTAATCCGTAACGATACAAATGTCAATAATACATAAATAGACATTTATATAAATTATATTGATGTGCATGTTTACGTCACTCGTGCCTTATTTGCCTCAAAAATGTATCTAGCAAGTTTACGAATAACGCTGATATTATCAGCACTTAGTAACTGTACAAGTTTAAACATTGAAGGATTTCGCCAGTAATATGGTTTTATGTATTTTACTCTCAGAATATGAAAATTGTTACATATTAAAATAAAATGATATTCGTCTTCAATATCTGAAATGCAGCTCATACAGTGTCTTTGTTCTCTCGTTATGTTATTGTATCTACCAGTCTCAATAGCTAAATTATGTGCAGAAAGACGAAGTTTAGATAAACAGATCCGGTATTTCATTGGAATATACTTTGTCAAATAGTATTGAAGAGTATGGTGATTTGCTAAGTGCTTATATAAAATACATTTAGGTGAGGTTTCTAATAGCCCTCTCAGATATTGTTGACTTTGATCAAATATTCTTTGCTTTATCATGTACAAAATACTTTTATGGTTATATGAATAATAATTTGTCCATACATCTGCGAATCCGAGAGAAAAAAGACAATGTTTGACATACTTAACCCAGTTAAAGCAATTGCCTGTATTGCTACTACTTAAAAAGGAATACGCAGTTTGCAAAATACAATTTTTCGAATCCATTAGTTTTAACCAATATTTTATCATTCTGAATTTTCTTATATTTTCCAAAGGATGTCGACCTAATTCAAAATAAACCATTGCGTTGCAAGTCGACTTCTTAACTTTTAAAATCTTCTTACAAAAGTGTAGGTGTAACCTCTCAATATCCGTACCTTTTGTAGATCCCCATACTTCACATGCGTAATGCAATATACTACAAACATACGTATCAAATAAATGCAATAACGTTGTACAGTTTAGGCTCAAGTTAGAAGAGCTTGAAAAAAGAGCATACATGGCCTTTCTTCCTTGGTCAGATAACTGTTTCTGTATATGATTAAATTTATTATTGAATTTCAGTTTTACTCCTAGGTAGCTGAAAACATCTACAACTTCCACCTCCAAACCATTATACATCCATCTTTCTCTATCTCGTATACTACCACCGTTTCTAAATACAACTACTTTGGTTTTCTCAGTGTTAACTGTTAATTTCCATTTAGTAGAATACACATTCAGATTATCTAAAAGACTCTGTAAACCTTCAATAGTTTCGGAAAACAATACTAAGTCATCTGCATACATTAACAAAAACAAACTTAATTCACCAAAGTCATAGTCCGTTGCACCATTTTCAATAAATGAGGTTTCAAAATCATTAACAAAAACTGAGAACAATAAAGGCGATAATATTTCCCCTTGCATTAATCCAACACTGCACTCAAAATAATTAGAACATTTACCGTTAGTTGATACACAAGATTTAACTGATTTGTAAAATGATTTAATGACGGATAACATTTTCCCACGAATACCAAGCTTAGTCAGCTTACGCCATAAGCTTAATCTATCAACAAAATCAAACGCTTTGCGAAAGTCCACAAAGCAACAGTACAAACGTTTCTTTGAAGATAAAGTTTTCGTTATAATAGAATGTAATGCGAAAATTGCATCAATCGTACTAAGTTCTGGACGAAATCCGAATTGCGCATCAGTAATAAGGTCATATTTTGTACACACATCTAAAATACGTTTATTTAGTACAGAGGTAAAAAGTTTACAAAGACAACTAATTAAACTGATACCTCTAAAGTTATTAGGGTCATTTAAAACACCTTTCTTATGGACAGGAATAATTATGGCTGACGACCAATTAGAAGGAAAATAACCAGATTCTAGTATAGAATTAAACAACGTAGATAAAGTTGGAAGAAGTAATTCCACGCCAGCTTTTAAACATTCATTTAACAAACCATCAGGTCCATGTGATTTACCACATTTCAATTTCCGAATAGCATTTTTTACTTCTTGTAACGAAATAGGAGCATCTAATTCCTCAAAAACAGTGTCATAATCAGTAAGAATAAAATCGTCATGATGGACTGGATCATTATTTTGTTGTACAGAAGACAGGTTTTTGAAATGATTGAACAGTTGATTACCATTACACATTGGTGTTTTAGCTTTCTTCTTACCAAATTTCTTATAAAAAGACCCGGGGTTATGTTTTCTCATATACTCCAACATATCACCTTCTGCGCTCAAATATTGCCTCTTAAACTTACTTTCCAGGATTTTGTACTCTTTTTTCTTACGGATAAGAAGAGTGTGTGTCCAGTAACATTTGTTAATGTTGAAATTCTTTAAAGCAACTAAATATTGTTTACGTAGAGCTCTAACACGATCATTAAACCAGGGCTTATCTTCGGAACTAGAAAAGGTGTGGGTGTCAACTTTAACAGGGGGCTTATCAGTGTTATTTTTGGGCGGTTTTCTTAGAAAAAATGGTTTCATAGTCCCTAGTAAAACATCAGTAAAATTACTTACACAGGTATCAATAGAATATTGATTTAATTCATCATTGATTAAAACTGATTTCTTTATTAAGTCTAAATTAACTCTTACAGATTCGATAAATTGATGTTGGTACTCCTCCTTCCATTTATACACAGGTCTATCATTAGAATTGTCATCATCATACTCATCATCATCATCATCATCATCATCATCATCATCATCATCATCATCATCCTCATCACCACCTCCTAAATTACAGTGTATTTCAATGTGCAATGGAGCATGGTCGGAAAATTCAACAAATTCGCAAACCATGAATTTTTTAACAACAGAAAACATACTAAATGGCATTAATACATAATCAATAACACTCATTCCATTTGCACCACAGAAAGTAAAATCACTAGATAGATTGGCTAGGTCTCTACCATTTAAAATTCTTAGACCCGAGGATTTACATAGGTTTAATAATCTTGTACCAAATTCGTTGACTCCTGGATCAGGGTTTGTTCTGATCGGCAGAAGCCTTTCTTCATCAGTGTCACTTAAGTAGTTAAAAATGGATTCAATATGAGACTGTATACCGCCATATAAATTGTCGAATGAAATAAAATCATCTGTATTACGGGTACGACTGTTTAAATCACCTATAACCATTACATTTCTGGATTCAGAATATTCACTTATAACGTTTTCTAGAATTGAAAAAATATCACAATCATATTGTTCATAAAAACGAGATGAACTAGGTGGAATATATGTAAATAACAGTATTAGGTTGTCAGTACAACTGGTCAAATCCTGGTCAAGAGTAACCGGTATAATTGTATCAAACAAAACATTACCTACATTTACAAATTTAAAAATAGTATTACGTATTAGTAACACCAATCCACCACCTTGTGTACAGCGTGTTAATTTCCTTGGTACAACAACTGCGTGAAAGTCCTCAAGGTCTACCTCAAAGTCTTTTGGAATCCAGCACTCGGATAAAAAAATAATATCATAGTTAAGTATAACATTGCGGAATTCAGTAACTTTAAGTTTTTTTTCTATTCCACCATTTACGTTCCAGGAAATAATTCTGATATCGGTATCAGACACATGTTTCGCCCGGTCACACTTGGTACTGTCGTTGATTGTTACCCCCCGACACCCCTATGTAGGCGAGTGCGTAGGCGTAGCTGTGAATCGACGTTGACGCTTGGAATGGCGTTGATCAGAAGTCGGCGACCGGTCCAAAGCATCACGGTAGGACTGCTGGGTAGCTTCTCTTGAACCTCACACATGAACATTTCTACCTTTATCTTTAAAAAACGTCCAATTTATTGTTATAATTGTAAAAGAAATACAAAAATAACAGTACTGTGTTCTCTCTTTTACGGTTAGTGTTAACAGAGTTGTATTAGTTTTGTGTAAAGACCGAAACTGAGCGTAACACATGGAATATCGAGGAGGAGGAGGAGGAGTAGGGGGAGGAGGAGGAGGAGGAGGAGGANAACACATGGAATATCGAGGAGGAGGAGGAGGAGTAGAGGGAGGAGGAGGAGGAGGAGGAGAAGGAGAAGGAGGAGAGATGGGGGCGTTCTATATGTCGGGGAATTTCGGCATTCGATATAAACAATCATGTCTTAAATATCTTGAATTGAAATTGTTCTTTAAAAAATAATTGCATTGTGCGAAATTATTATTTTCCTTGTTTATAAAAATAACAGGATACAAATGTAATAGTTTTATGAAACTATATTATGATTATATTTATAGATGTAAGAATAACTTTGAATAATTTAGATAAATGTTATGCGTTGTGCAAAAGATTTCTTAGAGACTGTATACTGCAATTTACAGTGATTCGGTCAGTGTAGGAACATACATAGCCACCAGATACTTTCGGTATCAATAGGCCTATAGTCAGAGAACTTTCTGGGTTCGTTAGCATTTAGCAATGTAGGTCATCGCAAAAATTAAAGCAACTTGACAAATTATGACAATATAAATTTATCATAAGATGTGTAGGTACCACACAATTATTGTAAGCACCATTCTAGATACGAAATTGCCAAGTTCGTCAACGTCATCTCACAGGGGCTCGGTTTCGAGATTTTGAGTTATGCCTAACGGATGACATTCTATTTATTTGTCACCCAAATTGATTCGTATCGACTGTATACTGCATCTGGTAGTAGTTCAATGCTTAAATATTTACCATTTTGATTAAGCATTCAATTATATTTATATGCGCTTCTTCCTTGTGAAATTATGTATGTGTCTATATCATTGCTATATTTCGGTTATGCTTTTTGTGTAATTATGTATGTGTCTATATCATTGTTATATTTCGGTATTAGTTTTTGTGTAGTTATGTATGTGTTTATATCATTGCTATATTTCGGTATTACTTTTTGTGTAATTATGTATGTGTCTATATCATTGCTATATTTCGGTATTACTTTTTGTGTAATTATGTTTGTGTCTATATCATTGCTATATTTCGGTATTACTTTTTGCGTTAGTATGTAAGTGTCTATATCATTGCTATATTTCGGTATTACTTTTGTGTAATTATTCATGTGTCTATATCATTGCTTTGTTTCGGTATTACTTTTTGTGTAATTATGTATGTGTCTATATCCTTTTTGTGATAGTGAATGTTCAATATGTATTGCTGTTTTTTGTTTTGTTTTATTGTTTTCATAATTTATATGCTTTAAGATTTAAAGAATGTTTGATAAGTGTAGTTTAAATCAATTTTATTGTAACAAAAGACAAGTGGATTTGACAAAAGTTATTGCAACTTACTTACGTCCTTTCCGTAACAAATAAATACATATACAAAATGAATGTTTCACACAATCAGGGATGGGTAGTCCCCTACACATCCCTGACACAATAGCCTAAACAAATGTATATCTATATAAAAACATTTTAAAGTTAAAGATTGGGTAACAACAACAAAAAAGGTAAGGATAGGATTAGTGACACCAACGTATAGTTTTTGAAATACGTATGGGCGATTTTCCAAGTATAACTAATCTATGCACACCTGTTCAATCACATCCCGTGCCGCGTTTGCCTTTCTCCTGTGTCGCCCTAAGTCCTTCTGTGAATTCCAGCCTTGCGTACATAATGTATTTATATTAGCCGACTAGATTAGGAAAACCGGACACGCGCTCGTTATTATATGGTAACGGTTATGATACATAAGTTAAGTAGAAGTAAAAGTTGTGGTGAGGACCAAATGCTTAATGAACTTTTTATTGATTACTTGTTCCATATTTAATCAAACTTTTTAATTATATTTTTCAATTAGGGATTTTCCCTGAAGCTTGGTCTACTGGGAGTATTACCCCCGTATATTAGAAAGGCGATATAGAAAATACAAATTATTACAGGGGCATTACCCTAGTCAGTTGCATGGGGAAGTTGTTTACCTCCATTTTGAATAAACGAATAGTTAATTGGAATGTTAAAAATAATGCAATAACATATGCTCAATTTGGTTTTAGACCCGGACATTGAACTGTTGATGCAAAATTTGTACTTCAGACTTTAATTAATAGATATTTAAGTAAAAAAGGTGGTAGACTTTACTGTTGCTTTGTTGATTACAAGAAAGCTTTTGACTTAATCGACAGATCGCATATGTGGTGCAAATTGATTAGTGATTAAGCAGGGTGTTAGAGGGAAAACGTTACGTATAATTCAATCGTTGTATAGTTCAGTTAAGTCATGTGTAAAGCACAATGGTTTGTATTCAGATTTTTTTTCAAATACAATCGGTCTATTTCAGGGGAAAATTTTGTCACCCATTTTATACTCCATGTTCGTCAATGACTGTGAAATTCATTTTATAAAAGAAGGTTGTCCATCTATTGAAATTAATTTAATCAACATTTTTCTTTTAATGTATGCTGACGATACGGTGCTATTTGCCGAAACGCCAGAAAAGTTACAGCATATTCTGGAAGCTCTGAAATCATATAATAACAAGTACAAACTCAATTTGAACACTGATAAGACGAAAATAGTAGTTTTCAGGAATGGTGGCGGGATACGAAACAACGAAAAATGGTTTTACGACACTAAAGAGCTCCAAGTCGTCGACCAGTTTAATTACTTAGGCATGCTCTTTAATTACAATGGTAAATTTTATATCACTCAAAAGCATGTTGCAGATTAGGGTAATAAGGCATATTATGCGCTTTGTAATAAGTTCAATAATCATAATTTTAATATCAAAACACAATGTTCTGTATTCGACACTTATATTAATAGCGTCTTAAGTTACAGTGCAGAAGTATGGGGCTTTCATAACGCTCTTGGTGTTGAATAGATACACATACATTTTTGTAAAAGGTTACTCGGAGTTAAGAAGAGTACTTGTAATAATTTAGTTCATTGGGAGTTAGGAAGATTACCATTGTCTGTATGTAGAAAACTGATTTTTTTAAAATATTGGTTAAAATTAAAAACTTCGAATAATTGCATTTTAAAAACATGTTACGAGAAAAGAATTTTGTCAAATGATAATTGGATTCTTGATATCCGCACAGAACTCAACAAATAAGGTTTAACTTACCTTTGGGAAAATGTTAGCAATGATAGAAATATCTATACAATCATTGAGCAAAGACTTTTTTACTTTTACCGGCAAGAAATATTAACTAATATCCAAACAACTCCGAAAGGATTCCTTTATCAACATCTAATAGACAATTTTTCTTTGCAATCATATTTAATAAAACCAATTAATAATTCATATTAAAAGACTTTAGCTCGCTTTATACTTAGCTCTCATAATTTAAATATTGAACAGGGAAGATATAGAAACCTTCCTAGAGAACAACGATTCTGTAACTTATGTAACTCTAATGATATTGAAGACGTATTTTATTGTAATACTGTTCTACTAGGGAGTATTTATTGGTGACATATGTGCGATACAATGTATGTAACTATAGTAATCCAGTTATCATTACCTGTAACGTACGTCATTGAAAGTTACACTATTGTTATGATTGCACTGTATCGGAACCTTACGATGTTGGTGTATTGCAGTGTAAAATGCTGTCTCTTATTATATGTCATTTTGAAGTACTGCACGATTAATGAATATTATTGTATACATGTATCATTGTAAATTTGTAATATACTGTACTATTTGTATGTCTACTCTCCGATGTGTGTTACACAAGGAATAAAACAATCTGATATTAATGCTTATGCAAACTATATACTATATACGATAAGATTGAAATTATTACATAGAGATCGCTGGTGTTGGAAGGAGGGAGGGGCTGGAATAAGAGAGGAGGTGGATCAGGAAAGAGAAAGAAGGGAATAGACAAAGAATGTGTAATAAGTAAAGAGTCGAAAATAACAAATAACATGTGCATCATTATTCTTGCCTATGTTAATTTGTGTTTATATATTGTTTTCTGTGATTCTATGATAAGAGTTATACTACGGACACTGATTTAGATAGTCTAATCCAAATCCGTGGTGATACATGTATATTTTTTAAATTCTTTTGTCTACTTGTTAGTTAGTTTCAACTTCTATAAGGGTTATTTAAGGAATGATTTTTATTTTTTCAACATTTATGAGGTCTTAACAACAATGGGTTTATGGACATATTGAATGAATCGCATTAGCGATTCATGTAAAATATGTCCAAAAACCCATTGTTGTTATGGCCTCATAAATGTTGAAAAAATAAATATCATTCCTTATATTTACATTGACGAAGCCTTTCAGTGGATCGATATAACAACGAATAAAACAAATAAACAGGGTTTGTTCCTGCTTATACACGGGTGCAACGCAGTGGCGAGAACAGTGTTTTTTCGCGGGGAAATGTGACACTATCGTGAGAGATTTTAGCAACCGTCAACAACAATAACACAACAAAATGTAGTTCCATATTCAATGTTTATTTGTAGCACAGGACACGTGAATACGTGGATATTTCACAAAGCACAGTTCAATAATATTTTAAGATGTAAGAATTAAGCATCTAGGTCGGTCGTTCCGAGTGAGTAGTTTTTGTAGTGTATTACTACGCAGTGTGATCAGGTTACTATCAGTTCCCACGTGCTGAGATTCTATGAACACCTGTGTTATGCATTTATGAATGTAATTTTTGTCAATGGGTCTAAGCATACAGAATGTAAATATTTCCCTTTAGCCATCATTTTACGTACTAATACAAAGTCGTACAATTCTCTTGAAGTATTTTTTGATGGAACTTTATCCGAACCTGAACAATGATCATATTTTGGTGAAAACATGTCCTTCAACCTTTCATAGTATTTAAATGTCATTGAATGACAACGTACTTACCCGTAAACAATTTAATGATTGCGGTATCTATTTTTAGAAATCGAAAGCATCTTGCTATATTTAGCACTCTTCCTTCTTCACAGAAGAGTTCTCCTGATGATCTTCCGCGGGAACACAATCTACTGTTGATAAAATCTAGATAATTAAATGGCATCTAAGTGTGATGCGGGCGGTGACATGGAAGAACCATCTAAAAAACTTCGAGTGGACGCTTTAGAATCGGACTCAATTTTTACCATTTTTCCAGAGGACTTTATCAAACAGCTAGCACATATCTGTGGACATTACTTGTGTTCGCCAGGCACCCAAAGAAACCCTATCCTGACATCTCTCAAATTTACAAACAGTAAAGCTGCAGACGAGAATGAAGGAATACCATTCTCAAGAATACTGCTCTGTTGAACCGGCGAATGCAAAAACACAGGTTTTTGGAAGTGTATTCATGAAAGGTATTGACATATTATTAGCCTACTTCACCGAGCGGAGCGTTCCAGAAAATAGACAAGAACGTCACGTCCTCGGAAAATTGTTAGGATATCTGCTTGATACAGGTTTGTAACACAGAGATCTGCTGATACAGGTTCGTAATACAATGATCTGCAAACAGTTGATGAACAAATGGTCTATTTATGCCCCTATTGGCCATCACATTTAACACTTCCCTTCTCAATTATGTCATAGTTTAATTTTATCATAGGTGGTCCCGTTTCTGTGCTCTGTTTTTTCCTTGTAGTTTTGTCTATTAGACTATTACATACGTGTGTCATACTTTTGTTAAGCAAAATCAGATCAAATACCCCCCGCCCCCTTTTTTTTAAAGTCTTGAGTCTTCACCCCTCTACTGATCTTTATGAAGGTACAACTGTTTACAACCCAGGTTCGGGTATCCCCTTGCCAAGTGTACACTAAATGCTTGAAGCAAGGGCTGGTCACAAGCACCACTGTAAAGATGGAAAAAATGCATGGCAAGACCAGGGTTTCGAACCAAGGACCCTCCAATCTCAAGACGGACAATTGACCTACCTGGTACCCGACGATTGACCGAGTCCAGTTTCCCTACACGGCCTATAGTATTTTGAAAATGTGTTTTGATCTAACTTAGTAATGTCCTTGGTGGCAGAAGGGCTTGGTCAAATGGGTAAGAAAGGCTAACCTGCTTTAAATGACATCTCCCATAATAATTCAACCTATTGGTATGGTTAGCATGCTTAGCCCGTGGAGACCAATAGTTATATAAATTAAAACACTGAGCCCAAATAGAGATATTTCCTTTCAAACAACAGTGCAAATTTCAACCAAATTTTAATCATTACAGGTGGTATTCCAACTTAACAGCTTTGTAAAATCTTTGTACACACAGTTAAGCCAGTTAACTGATTAATTGACTACAGAATTATTTATCAATTTTAGTCAGAATACTTGCGTGTAGTGATTCCAGGGCCTGTATTCATGAAACCATTCTCATGTTCAAACTCAGATTTAATAAGCCCAATAGCCTGATACGGTAATTAATCTATAACACTTCACATTTTGACAATACATGTAATGGGGAAGAATTCGGGAGGAAAAATTGTTTTTAGGATTTACATTTTACCATGTCATTTAAATCAGCGAGCTATACAAAAGTTGGTTGGAGCACAGAATCCTTGCTTGAGCAAATGACCAATTGTTTTTGGGGCTGCCCCTCATAGGGGCTGAGAAGCCAAGTGAAAGGGAACATTACAAATTGGTTAATTTCTTGTAAATGAGATTTAATTCCAAACTGTTGAGCAGATCCTTATTGTAATTGGTAGAATGGTAGAATACTTTTGGGACTGACCTTTCAGGGGACTGTCTTCTAAAACTAGTTGGCCGATTTCAACTTAATTTCCAAAATAGCCAAATGAGTGATTCAAAGACCCCTGGGCCTCTTGTTTTTCCTTTCAGTACATGTAATGTTATTCTATTTTCAATTGAAGCAACACAAGCTCCATTGCTGAAGCTGGAACATCTTTCTGAGGAAGATCTTACACTTATACTTGCAAATCATCTGTTTGGAAAAATTGCAGCATCACCAAAATATGTTATTGACAAGAACTACGCTGTTAAGAAGAGATGCCCTTGTGGAAAAGACTGCAATATCACGGGGTATTATGGAGATACAGGTATCGGTAAGTTTTAGTGTTCAACCTTAATGGTAGTCTCATAGCAAATCATAGTGTGGGTCTATGTATATATATGGGAATCAGTTACATCATTGACCAAGTTGTCTAGGAAGTTATTTACTGTGATGTATATAAGTCAATGTCAACTCATTCACCCCTGAAGACACATTTGAATTCTTCCAATTCAAAGGGTGGAATAGTTCATTATGAAATTTCAGGCGTGAAGGAGTTAAGTATAGTAGTGAGAGAAAGAGTCCTCTTTAAAATTACTTACCTTTCTTTTATATTACACATATTTTCTTTATTACATGTCATTGAAGAGTGAATATAATTTAAAAATTAGAATTTGCTTGGTCAAGGTCTGGTCTATCAAAGTTTCAGTCAGTCTATAAGACAGATTTATCTTGTAGTATTGTGGTCAAGGTCTGATCTATCAAAGTTTCCTTCAGTCTATAAGACATATTTATCTTGTAGTATTGTCTATGGTGACTTAATCCTGGATTCTAACCCGGAAGTTTATCATATCCACCCAACCAGACATGCTAACCTTTGAATCTCCCAATGGGGGTCATGACCCCAATGGAGAAATTCTGTGGGGGGTGATAATGCGCGAACGAAAATTGTGTGAAAATTTAATAATTTCGCGGGGTCTCGGCTTTACGGTATTATGTTTTGTCTTCTGGCAAGATCAATGACTTTTTTGAAATTAACAAAACATTTTATCACACCTTCATTGTTTTATTACATATTCTTAATCAATATACATGTTTTTCTTTTCCTAGGTGCATACTGAAAGCATGAACCATGTTGATTTAGTTTTGCACATAACAAAGCACATATTGTATCATTTACTAATTTATTTTATTCTTAGCGTGCATAATCACCCCTCTGGAAATGGTAATGTCACCGTACCCAAATCGGGTCACCCGGGTGTATATTTTCCAGATAATCCATGGATTCCCACGGAATTCCACGGAATAAATCCATAGAATTCCTTGGAAATAATCCGCAGATTATTTGGACTCCATTTTCCGCAGATTTCCACACTATTGAAAAATAATGAATATATGGAAATATGCGGACAATTTCCACGGCCTGTGTGGAAATATGCGGACAATTTCCATAGCCTGTGTGGCATTTTGCGGACAATTTCCACGGCCTGTGCGGAAATATGTGGACAATTTCCACGGCCTGTGCGGAAACGTGCAGACAATTTCCACGATATCCACAGCCTGTGCGGAAATGTGCGGACAATTTCCACGGTCTTGATGGTCAGTTGGCACAGCCTGAGAGGAAACCTGCATATGATTTCTCATATTTTCTGCTGTGTTTTACATTTTCATGGCATGACAGCGGCATTTTGTAGGTACTTTTGCAGATTTTATGTACCATCCTCATGGATTCCCACCTCTTAATGCTGCACACAAATTCATTTCCCTGTATAAAAATCAAAACAAAGATATAGTTTTCATTTTAAATCTTTTATATTTATTGATGCTGTACTGGAACGTGTTTACTGCAGCATTACTTAGCCCGTGATGGCCTAAGCAATTCACTCAGCTTGAATCTGATCTGTAGAACTGCCACATTGGGGAACATTTTCTTGATGATTTCTGAAAGAATACAAAGTATAAGATATATCAGTGATTTTTTGGAGGGTACATTTGGGGCCCATAGAGAAATGCAGCTCCCTCCCAAAGATAATTGCAGTTGTTTTTTCCCAAATTACTTATGAGTTTTATAACCCCAGATGTGCACAGAGCGTAAACAAATCTCTACATATTTTTAACATTTAAAAATTGAACATATTTTCTGCCTGAAAAAATATTTCATTGCATAGGAGTTGTGGAAAGATAAAGGACCAATTATCTTTTACAACTTAATTATGGAATGATGAACGAGAAGGACACCACATTTGAACATTATATTTTAACAATGAATTTAAAAAATGTGTGAATTAGTGATTGAGATAAGTTACATTCGTTTGTTTCCTTCATATTTAAATATTGAACCATTGGACTCTATTTTATTAATAAATTTAGATAATACTGGTAAAATGAATTTCAGGGAATTTCAGAAAATATTGCATGAGCAACAGGTTTTTAAAATATGAATTACCAGGTAAATAAAAAAAAAATGTATACAGAAAAAATCATGTAAATCATAATTTGGCATTGTGTTTGGTTATACATTATTTTTTGAATAAATTATTTGGGTAATAATATAATATTTCCACCATTGAAGACTTAAATTTCAAAATGTATGATATAATTCCAGTTCTTGATAGCAATCTTTATAGAGCAGTCAATAACTAATCCCCCTTCGAAACCCTATAGCTAATGACCCTGGAGGGAGGATCTAGCTAAAGCTACATCAGTACAAACAGTGAGCAGCTTTACTTCCTCTGAGTGTTAATATATAGTTTCTCAAATGTCATGCATATGTTATATAGTATCCATGTACCTCTATGATTGGTGTCTGAAGTAAACAATTACTTCTACATTTCTCTGTTTGATTTCAATAATGAAAAATGTCAAAAATTAGTTACATGTGTTATGCTTAAACTAACAATGCTTTGAACCACTAAACCCTGGTCTGCCACATTCAAATTTCCAGTTATACTTACACACTATACACGTAAATTACAACATATTCTAGCTACTTGTATACTTACTTTAACTGATTTGTTTACAATGCAGCTATACATAATAAGCAGTACATTTCTTAACTTATTTCACTAACAAATATACTAGAACCAAACTGTTAATTTTTCAAACAACTATATACTTGACCTAGTAATCCCTAGTACTGCTGTTATACTGGATGTATCAAACTAAATGAACATAAAAAACAGTATTAGTTTGTTCAAGTGTACTTTTATTTTTTCCTCTTGCCTACGTCCATATACTTTGGTAGAAATTCACATTCTCCTTAATCTGTCACACCACAGACTAAGATCATCTAATTCTGTGGTCACACAATGGTAGAAATTCACATTCTCCTTAATCTGTCACACCACAGACTAAGATCATCTAATTCTGTGGTCACACAATGGTAGAAATTCACATTCTCCTTAATCTGTCACACCACAGACTAAGATAATCTAACTCTATGGTCACACAATGGTAGAAATTCACATTCTCCTTAATCTGTCACACCACAGACTAAGATAATCTAATTCTGTGGTCACACAATGCAACCATCAATGGCTAGGGATTGACCTCTGTATATCACAACTCCCTGTACATCAGTGTGAATTTAAACTGACCAATCACAGACCAGGATTCTGGACTGGCTGCAGGAGCTATGTTTATATTCTTGATCCTGATCTTTCAACAGCCTGGTTAGCTGTTTAGACATGCTAAAATCTATTGAAATACTTCACAGTTATAAAAATTAGGTAAAATAAACAGCATTTTCTTCTTTTCATTATATGTTAAGAAGTTCAGTGTTTAAAAAAATAAAAGTAATTTAACCTTGATATTTTGCAACATTGTTATCAATACATTTGCATTTACATCATTAATTTTATTTTTAGAGCAATGACTTTGGTAATCACATACATTTAAAATGTGTCCTGAATAACAATAAAGTAAAATTTGAAAATTAAATTACTATGTTTTTCAAATTATACTGAATACATCGTTTGTGTACTTTACCATATGTGGGTTTTTTATTCTAAGAAGATTTGTGTAAGGCTTAAGAATTTCCGACTTGAAACATCAAAGTTAAAGATTTTTAAGAGATAAATCATGTAGCTGGAACTTAGAAAAAATGTCCACATCCAAAATGTCCACAAAAAGCTGAAGAAAATCTGAGAATAAAACTTCCGTACAATTCCACAGTTTTCCACGGAAAATGTCCACAGATGTGGAAGTATACATGCGGAAAAAATCCACGGATTTTTTAAATCCACAGATTTCCACACATTTCCATGATAATCCGTGGAAATTTGTGGATTTTTTTTATCTTTCTTTTATTTGTGGAAAATATACAACCGGGCTGAGTACCCAAAAGGGACACTTGGGGGGAAAACGGCCCAAGAAACTGTCATGCAATGCAAAGAAGTACTTTATGTATACAGTCTTCATTTTCTTTTATGTACATTTAATTGTGTAGAAGCTTTTTTGGCGGCTAATTATCATTACATGACAATTTAAAGGTAAGAATAATTACCATAACAAAACTTTCCTGATTTTCAAAAGTTTATTTTAATCAGAACCCTCTTTGACTTATTTGATATTATATATAATATTTGAACTATACATTATTTTCTGCCGATATTGATCGTTTATTCCCCAGTATTTTAATTTAGCCAAACTATTGAGGTGTCTCTTTCAGGGTACAATAACGCCGGTTGAAGGGCCTATGTAACTGATGGTATTTCGTGTTCTATTAATAGAACCATGAGCCTACCTGGGATGGGATGCTATAAAGTTGACCTAGTTTCAATGGCACAGAGGTGAAATATGTTAAATACTTCAAACAACAATTTCCTTAGAACCATTTGGTCTAGAGTCATGATACTTTGGTATGTTATGTAAACCAGCTATGTGAATCGTTTTATTTATTACAGTAAGGTGGTCAAAGATTAATGTTAAGTGATAGTGGGGGGTCAAAGGTCAACGTGGGTTAAAAGCTTAAACAATCTTCTTCTCAAGTTCAATAAGGTCCAGGGTCATGATATTTGGCCAGTAGGTACCTGGGATTGAGTGCTATAAAGTTTCTTCATTAAAATGACATTGAGCTTGAGCTTATTTCAAGGTCACAGGGGTTAAATATGTTAAAAACTCAAAACAACAATAGCTTAAGAACCATTTGGTCTAGAGTCATGATACTTGGGTATGTTATGCAGACCAGCTGTGTGAGTCATTTTTTTATTACAGAATTGAGGTCAAAGATCAGCTGTAAGTGCTAAGGTGATGATATTTGGCTAGTAGAATACAGGTATGAAGGGCTACCAAGTGTGTTCAAAAGATCGACCTTGACTCATATTCAAGGTCACAGGAGTCAAATATGTTAATAGAACAGCTTCTGAAAAACTAAAATGAATATTGTGGTGAGATTTGGCCAATAGCCTTCTCAGATGAAGAGCCGTCAAGTTTGTTCATGTGAATGACCTTTACCTACGTTCAAGGTCAAATGTGTATACACTTTTAGATGACCACATGTCAGCAAACAAAAGGTCTAGGGTAGTGATATTTAGCAGGTTGCATGCTGGGTTGAAGGGCTATAAAGTTTGTTCTTTTGAATGATCTTGTAGACTTTCAAGGTTGTAGGGGTCAAATGTGTTTAAAACTTTAAATAACTTAAAGTCCTATTAGAGTCCTATTTACTGCTGTATTGCCTGTAGCGTTATTTTAATCAACTTTTAAGTGTGAGACTAATACCAGGTGATTGATGCGGGCCCATCGGGCCTCTTGTTAAAAATATGATGCCAAGAACATATCTGTTTATGTATTTGCAGGAAATGAAGATGTTTGGCATGGTAATCTGGATATAAACTTGAACCAGGAATTGGGCATCAGCAACACTGAAAAGGAAGGCGCAACAACAACTTCTGCAGAAGCACAGAGTCTATCAGCAGAAATGAAGAAGTGTATCCACCTATCGAGGAATAATCAAATTATTGCTCAAACAGTAGTGTTCTCATTTCTACAGAGACAATGTCATCCGGAGAGTTCTCATTTTCTGGTCCCTTCCATTGGTGTGTCGGACAGTGGTTTTGTGATATATTTCTACGATTCTGAGCACGATATCCTCCTAGAAAGCTCTCGTATTCCGTTTCTTGCTTCAGAAATGGAAATCAATTTGTTTGCAGTATTAACTTGTTGGTTGGTGGTTAACTACAAGTATTTGGGCAGTGGCTTGCCAGAGTCTCTCAGAGATACAGAAAGATCAGGATTTTTCAGTCAAGCCAAGGAGAAAATCGAAATATATAGAAACAATTTAAAATTTGGAAATATCGGCATTCCTTCACATGTACCTGAAAAGCTTAATCCAGCTACAGATACTGAACTCTTAAGTGATGCACGATCAAAATTTTTGAACATTGCTTTTGAAACCAGCCAACAGGCGTAGGGGTATAACTATGTGTAGAAGATAAATGAACCCTTGGAGTCTGTCAAGGATTTGCCAAGTTGCTTATTTTGCTCTACAGATGTGAAACCAGTATGAACTCTGTTGATACACTTATTCTCCTGGACATTTTGAAATTAGGCAGTTTATTTATACATTATTCACTGTCTGACAAACTGTGTCTTGAAATAAAATTGATTCAACCCTACACATTTCTTTGAAATGTGACTTTTGAAGTTTAGTAAAGTTAAAAAAGCTTGCCAGGTACACACTGTTTTTTGTCTCGCCGCCACGAAGCAGCATACGCAATACTAAGGGGATGCTGGATGCGGCCTGCCTTTCATGGTCAATTTACTTTGTCAGCATCTCCATCAACATGAAGTTTTTGCATTTAAGTTAGATTCTATGATATTTGCATTGATGGTCAAAGCGGGGCACTGTGTGCCGCACAGGTGAGACATACAATGCTCAATCAGAAAAGCTTGTTGAGGTTAATTACCCCATGCATTAAACTCACTTACTTGCTCTGGGCTGTAAGACCTGTGACTAATTATACTCCATTGAATGTGTTGTTCACATTTCAAACACTTATTGTAACATTTAAAATAGAAATACAAGCGTTATATAACAAGGTATCACATACATATACATTAATATAACACAAATATAAAGCTAGTATTGTATGCCTTAAATTATTGCAACAAGTCTTTTAAGAAATCAGCAAATATAAGTTATAGTTTCTGTAGAACTGTATATAAATATGCAATACACATCTTTATCACATGCCTCTGCAATCTTACGATAGTAATACATCATTTTGTCAGATGTGTTTTCTGTCTCCTTGTATCACCCATGTGCGATACAAGATCCTGTATCACCACAGTAGCCGGACCTACTTTTTAGGGGAATTCCCTCTACTGACACCGCTAAAAATAGCCTGGTTCAGGTTCAGGTTCCTCGGTAGATTCCCTCGTTGTCTTGTCGAGGCACCACACTTCTTCCTAGTAGCGTAGAATATCGGCTTCAGCAATAAAATCTGTACAGATATGTACACAGGGATTAAAAACTAAAGAGTTCTTTTATCTTCTATAAAACATAGTAAAGTTTATATAAAACAATATCATTAATTGGAGGGTCTGTCATTCTCCTCTGCATCTAGTTTTGCAAGTAGCTTAACTCGTCGTAGATGGATTTCTTGCAAGTATTCTCTACTGTGAAGTTCAATTTTGTTGATCTCATCTTTGTTAAAGACATGGATATCGCTGATGTATTGGTGTGTGCAATCTAGTATCAGATGAGTGAATTTTGTAGGATTTGAAGTCAGTTCTGTATATTGCTGGATTGCTGGAATATTTTGTAGTCGCAGATAGGCATGATCCCTTATTCTATCATATGTTGTACAAACGGCTATGAAGTGTTGACGGTCCTCTGGCCCTGTATGACATAGTCTGCACTCCGGGTTGACGTTGTATTGGTTGAAGGCTGCTCTATTTGCCTGTAAGGGATATGTGCCCGTGAGGAGTCTTGTCTTGCATTCGGCTCGTTGGACATCGTGTTTGTTATTTCGCACTGTGGAGTAGACATGGTGAGGTTCTTTCAAGGTAATGGAATCAGGGTTAATGTATTTGAGTGACGATTTGGTGGCGAAATCATCTTTCAAACTGTCTTGAATATGCGTAGATATCCCCCTGTCTAGCATCTTTTTCCATTGACTTTTGAGTGGAGGATCATCGAGAAGAGTAAATGCCGTTGGAAGATTGTACTGTTCCCGGAGGTCCCTCACATGAGATAACCAGCTATCCTCGTCACTCGATCTCACTGGTAGTTGACGATATGCTATAGAGTACTCGATGGAGTCGGAGTTGGTAATGATTCTGTAAAACAGGTTCAGTGTGTTTCTGTCAATGATACATCTGAGTGGAGGTATTCCAAGTAATGCCAGGGATATAGATATTGCTGTCCTATCTGGAAGATGTTGTACCTGTCTTAGTGATTTGGTCTGGAATCGTTCCAGGTCTTTCATCTGCGTTTTTGTGTAGTTGAGTATTTCCATTCCATATGTGAGTCTTGGGACGACATAGGTTTTCCAAAGATGTGCTTTAACCATTTGAGATGATCCATTCTTCCCATGAAATCCAGATCCCATGAGTGAGTAAGCTGTTTTCCTTCCTGTCTGGACAGTTTTCTCGAAGTCTATGGAGTTCTTGCCATTTCTAAGGACTCCAAGATGGGGTTACTGGTCTGTTATCTCTATTGGTTCATCATATATGGAGAATGTTTCTACATTTTTGGTGTTGTACAGTTTCATCTTACTTTTTGAAGGGTTCAGTAGATATCTTTCTTGAGTTGAATAATTCTCTACCCTGGTCAGCATATGTTTCATGTCGAGAGCCGTGTGAGCTAGAAAGGCAATGTCATCCGCACATGTTATGTACAGGATTCTGATGTATCCTATATTGGCTCCCTGACATTTTTCTTCCAGATCCTTCAGCAGGGGATTATTAAAACGTTTGTTGTGAGAGGTGGAGAGTACTCCCCCTTGACGGACTCCTTGTCGAACAGTAAAGGGGTATGAAGTCTGTCCCTCCCACATGACGCCTGTTGTGACATCCTTGTAGAAATCTTGAATCATCAGCCAGTCAGCGCCCTTGATTCCATCGTCATAGAGCTTGTTTAAAAGGATATTGTGATCCACGACGTCGAATGCCTTCTGTGCATCGAGTGTTGTTAGTGGAAGAGGCTTTCTTTGTAGACGGGCTTCCTTAAGGCATTCTTTTACGATGAGAGCTGAGTTGATAGATGATGTACCTTTGGTGAAACCGGTCTGTAGTTTGGATTGTGTTGGATTCAGGATAACGTTATGTCTGGCGTTGAGAATATGTTCAACGATTTTAAGTATGACTGTGGTAACGGTGATCCCACGGTAGTTGGAGGGGTTTTTCTGATCTCCCTTTTTGTTGATTGGAGTAAGTAGTCCAGATTTCAGCATTGCCGGTACTTTCTTTTTCTCTAGCATACTGTTGATAAGAGTTTTTAGGTAGGGAATTATGGTATCTCCAAACATTTTGAAGTGTTCGCTAGTCATTGCCATGCTATCAGCTGCTTTGTTGTTATTTAGTTTGGATATGGCTTTCTTGATATCGGATTCTGAGGCCGGTGTTATTCCAGCTGGTTCCTGCTAATTGAGTATGTGTATAAGGTTTGTTGTTTTATCAGCAATCTCTTTGTGGTCCTCCTTGAACAGTATATTTTCCGAAGGGGTTGCCAGTCGTGAAAAGTGCTTGTTCCAGCAAAGAAGGCCCTCATCTGGTGTTGTATAGGTTACTCCGTCCAGCATAAGTGTTTTTGGTCCAGTAGCTGAAGTCTTTCTCTGTGATTTTACCAATTTATAAAATAGTTTCTGGTCCCCATAGGAGGTTATTATATGATTGGTCCATTCATCTCTCTTCTTAGCTGATTGTTGCCTTTGTAGTCTCTGTAGGGTCTTTTTTTCTGTTCTTCATATCCCGGTACAGTAAGTTGGCTACATGGCGAGGTTTTCAAACTACTTTCGATTTCCACATTGCTTGCTTACTGAGTTTTGCTGCATGTTGTATCTCATCATTCCATGGTGCTTCCTTTTTTCTCTTTAGTTGTATGGTAGGTTTGTAGTTGGGTATACTGCTTTACGTGGCGTCTAATAAAGTGCCTGTTAGATGCTGAATTGCCGATATGGTTTCAATTTCATTAGCTGGTGTTTTTAGGTGATCCAAGTTATTTTCAATAAATCTGTGGTAACTATCCGGGTCGCATTTGCTCCAGTTTGGTTTGTTGTTGATTGTTATGGTTTTGTCTGTTGATCTTGTCTGTAGATCTAATTCTAGGATTACCGGGATATGGTCCGAGTGGTTGGTTGGGTTTTCCTTAAGGATTGTGCATTTTGACACTATACTCTCACCTTTCTTATTGAAGAGGACAGTCAATTTCAGCAGTGTCCTTAGTATTTACATGGAAAAAGGTGTCAGTTCCGCATTGTGCTGTTTTTAGATACAGGTCCTTGCAGAATTTATACAATGATTTGTCTCTGGAATTGTTGGGGCGTAGTCTGAGTGAGGCATTCATATCCCCGCAGATGAAAATGGCATGATTATCAAACTTTTGTATAACTTCCTCAATCTCATCTAATGTCTCTTGGTAGGCTGCCTCGGAGAGTCTCCCTCTACATGGCATGTATACATTGATGATACAGACTGGGGGATTTGTATCTAGTTCTAAAACGGTGAATCTTTCACTGCCGTCAGAGTGGTGGGTGTAATTCACATCCATATCCTTTCTGTGCAAAGTTGAGACTCCACCATAGCCCCTTGGGAGAGGGGATATAGGATCTTTGGAATCAGCAAACTTGGAGTGTGGATGGTGGGTATCTGTGCTAAGGAGTTGATGTTGGAATTCAAAGAGCCAGTGTTCCTGTATACAAAGTACATCTGTGGTCTGTAGAAGTTGTTCCAGATACAAGCTGTTCGACTGGATATTTTTTATATTGAAGGTGCCTATATTGATTGATTTCCTTCCTTCCGCCAGTGTCTGTTTGCTGCACGGCCATGCCGTAAAAAACCCTGCCCTGTAGTATTGGATTCATGGCTGTTTTTTGTCGACGCCGGTTCATTCAGAGTGTCGTTGACGGCCTTGGCTGTGATGCTGCTCGTATCAGAGTCCGGTATATGGACATGTAACGGAGGTGGCTCAGTCGTGGCAGGTTTTGCTGCGGAATTTTCATCTGCAAATTTGACCTTTTTAGGAGTTGAGTGTGGCGTCAGGTGACGTAATTATGACGCTGTGGTATTCCTCATTGTATCTACAGTACCAGATTCAGAGCGTCGTTTATGAGGTGTTAAGTATACCGGTTGACCTTTTGTCGGTTATCCTGCTTGATATCTGGGAGGAATATTTCGTTGTGGATATATGCTTTCCTTAGGGGTCCCCGAGGGTTGGCTGCTTGGTCGTGGAGGTCGATTCTGGTCCCCCTAATAACTTGTTCTTTGGGTTCCTCCACACGTATTGGTGTGTGCTGTTGGTGCGCTCATAGGATACGGTTGTGTTGGTACTGCAAAGCCTTGACCGCTTGTAGGTACATGGGGGTGTACCGGAAGTTGGTG